AGGGTCTCACTGAGTTACTTAGTGCCTCGCTATTGCTGAGGCTAGCTTTGAACTCACAATCCTCTTGTTTTAGCCTCCTGGGTGGCTGGCATGTGACACTATGCCCAGCTTTGCTAAGTTTCTGAGCCTGACCTGGAACTTGCAATCCTTCTGCCTCAGCATCCCAAGTAGCAGGGGGCCACCACACCCAGGTACCACAGACGTAATTTTTTTCTTCTTTTTTCTTTTTTTCCATGGTGCTGGGGGTTGAACCCAGGGCTTTGTGCATGTGAGGTAAGCACTCTACCGACTGAGCTACATCCCCAGCCCACCAGAGACCTAACTTTCAAATAAAGCAAAGAGAACCCCACAAACTAGGGACAAAGGTTCTAAACTTGCTTTCCTAAACCTTGGATGGACAAGGAGTTGAAACTAAGCCACGAGGCCTGCCTGCAGCTGGGGTCTCTGGCAGGATCCCTGCAGCCCTGGCTGTGACTGGTGCCCTACAAGTGCACAGGCGTGTCTGCCCAGCCTGTTTCCTGTGAAGGTCAGCCGGCAGGTGAGGACACATGCTCCAAGTTCAGACTGCCTGGGATCCAGGCCCGTCGCAACCATCCCTAGCCCTGAGACTGGCAGCCACCTCAGTTTCCTCCTAGGAACATGCCTATGGGGTGGTGACAGCATGCACGTCACTGCTGAGTGGGGGGTCCATGTCTGAGGAGCTGTGCAGGGTGGACTCAAGGGCTCGCCATCCCTACTACAGCTAATTTGTTGCCATGAGGACCTGGGTGATACCCAGAAGGGAACTGTCCCTGGAGGGAAATGGACAACTAATCTCAACTCTGGCCTGGCCTGTCACAGGCAGCATCCATCAGCCATCCATCTCTATCCATGCCAGATACCTCATGCCAGGTACATCCATGCCAGGTGCTTCATGCTCCAGGCTCTGGGGCACTACAGCTGCCTTGGGCTTTGGCCCAGCGCCCTACTATGACACCTTGCCAGTCTGGCTTCACAGACCCCCAACTCTGCTGAGCTCGGGTCCCACCCTACACCAACCTCTCTGGGAAGAAGACAGAATACCCTTGTGCTCTGAACTAGTTCAACTGTACCCACCCTGCAGCCTGAAATGTGCTTCTGCCCCAGACCCTCAAGTCTGACAAAGAACTGGGGGCAGCTGGGCTGGCCACCTACCTGAGCAGGTCAATGTCAGTGTAGCCGTACTTGACTTTATAATCCCCAATGCGCCTGGTACTCTCCTGCCCACAGATGATCCCCACTTGCTTGATCTTTCCTGCGTCCAAACCTACCAGAGGGAGAACAGTGCACATGAAAAACCAAGAAAAGGGGACAGAGGCAGATCCACCAAGATGAGGAGTGAGGACCCACCAAGAAGGAAGTGAAGACGTCAGGGCACTGGAGAGCAACCTAAGGTCCCTTGATGTCCTCAGCCTCACTCCCGCGAGAATGTCCAGGCCCTCCTCCACACACTTCGGCCCCACCCACCACGCCCTGTCTGCCTTGGGAGCAGCAAGCTGCCCTCAGGGCCTCCATGTCTGTCACATCTGCCAGGAACTCAGGGAAAGAAGGAAAGTTAGGCAGTGGCTGGAATCTCAGGGTTCCTTGGCTTTTCTCAGTTTCTGTCAATAACAGTGAGTACTACTGTGTGCCAGGTACCTTAGGGAGCATTTTCATGTATTATTAACTCTTTTAACCCTCACAACACCCTGGGGTAGGTGTTACTACCATTCTCATTACAAAGATGAGGAATCTGAGGCAGAGAAAGCTTAAATATGTCCCCAAGTCACCACTTAGTAAGCAGCAGAGCTGAACAAAGCCCCAGGAAGGCTGGTCACAGGGTCTCGTGGCTCTTCCACTATGCACCTGTCTGCCTGCCACCAAAGGAGGACAGGGGAGTCCCAGAGCCAGTTTCCTCTCCCATTTACCCCTCAGCCTGGCACCCCCTCTCACCCAGCTGCGAGAGGCGGAAGAGCTCATCCTCATTCTCTGTGGTGTGGTCCACGTTTAGTTGGGTCACCTGCAACCCGTCCACGGTAGATTTGCACAGAAGTGCCCGGTTCGTACCTGCAGTAGAATGTGAACAGTGACCAGAGACTTAGCGGAGAGGAGAGGAACTCCCAGCCCGGAGGGATTTAGGCCTCGGGCCCTGGAACGGCCTTTCCTCCTGCCCTTCACTGCCCACAGCTGGCATCTCATGCCTGCATCTGCCCACCTCCAGCTGGGACATGACACACGGTGGCAGTGAGGAGGAAACAGAGGATGGCCTTGAGACACTCTGCGTCCAAAGCATCCATGTGTGTGGACCCTGAAGCCAAAACTTCCTCCCCGCGCCTGGATGGGTGAGCAGCTCACCTACATTGGCGACGTAGAGTTTGTTGTTGAGAAGGACGGCCACCACGGCCATGGCTCCTCCTGAAATCTCCCTCTCCAGCGCCTTGAGCCTCTCAAGGATCTTCTGATACTGAGGAGGCAACTGGTGCTGAGGTACGCCCTGCAACCCACCACCAGAGGGTCAGGGCAGGGCTGGGCCTCGAGGGCCAGCTGACCAACGCCCTCCTACCCTCGGGAGCAAGGACGTGAGCACCGGAGGACAGATGGTCTGTGGCACCACCAGGAGGGAGGCCTGGGATGAACCCCAGGGAGTGGCGGTGACCCAGCTCAGTGGTGGCCCCAAAGGTGCTGGTGGGTGACAAGAGGGATAAGTGATGAGGCTAAGGACTGATTTAGGCCTTGGGCCCTGGAAAGGCCTCTCCTCCTGCCCTTCACTGCCCACGTCAGGCCAGGGAGGCCCCTTGAGGACAACCCCTGGCACCCCCCAGCCTCTCCATCAGGATGTGCTCCCTTAGCTCCTGCTGCTCGGGCCCAGCATGCGAGCGACACAGTGGAGGTGTCTGGCCCTGACCTCCCCGGGTGCGTGGAAAGAGTACCTCTGGCAGCTGGGACTGGAGGCTGGCCTTCTCAGCCAGGGTGTCGTCGATAGACTCCAGGAAGCTCCTCTCCACCACATCAAAGGCCTGTGGGGACAGAGAGGGGGCAGAGCCTGGCTCACACACCACTGCACCTGACGCCAAAAATGTCCCTACTGATGACACCATTGTCATGTGACAGGGGCTTTGCACACAGCAGTCCTGTCTCACAAACTGCAAGGTGCCCAATGCTTCCTGCAAATCACCTCTGACAAAGAACTTAGGCCCAAGGGACAGGCACAGTGCACAGGAGCCATCGTAGAAGGGACAGCAAGACAGGCTCAAGGAGGCAGGACCAGAGCACGGACCTAGAATCAGACTGGCGGGGTGTGAACTCCAGCTCCGCCACCTTGGGCTCCTCAGCTGCAGAACGGGACCACAAGGTTCTGAAGTGAGATGAGCTTCCCCAGCCTTCGGCACACCCCCGGCCCAGAGGAGCAGGGTGCCTTTCCCAGGGCTTCTGCAAATCCTCCTGCTCCCTGGACACTGGTGACACTGACACCTTCCCTGGGGTGTGGGGCCTGCTGAGAACCACTGGCCCAGAAGCCCTGGGGCCCAGGAGGACAGGAGAAGGCTGGGCTGCTCTCCTGGATCAGGAGGACAGCCTCACCTCAGGCAAAGGCCTCCAGCTAGGCTTTGAAAGGAGCCCCCAGGAGGGCTCCCCACACAGCAGCAGCAGAAAGGCAGACTCCCCCCGGGGGCTGGGACCCACCAGCCTCCCCATCAGGAACTGTTCCCTTAACTCCTGCTGCTCTGGCCTTAGCACCACATAAAAATAAATACATAAAATACAACTAAAAATACATTAAAAGAAAAAAGAAAGGCAGACTCCCAGCAAGCGTGGGGAGGCCAGGCCCCTGAACACCCACCCAGGACTCTCCGCAGTCAGAGGCAAGCACCTGACCACATCCAAGGAAAGGAGTCGCTCTAAAGCACCTACCAGGCCTGGCCGCACCCACCCACACTTCAGCCTGAGCCCACAACCCTGGCTCCCCTTCTCCAGCCGAGCTGTCTCCTTGGCCAGCCAGTCACAGGAGGGATGGCTCCTCCCTGCCTGGCCCTGCTCCTCCCTGCCTGGCCCTACACTCCCTGGGAGCAGCAAGTCCTTGCCGCTGGGAAGGGCTTCCAGGGCTGACCCTGGGTGGGAAGAAGAAGCCAGGAGTCTTCAGAACAATCCTGTCACATTTCACAGTTGCGGAACCCGAGTTCTGGGGGACGGGGAGGACACACAGTGGGCGAGGGTACCACAGCAGCCTGTACCCCATACCTGCAGCAGCACCCGCCGCACATCAGCCTCGGTGTGTTCGGCGTTGAGCTGGCCGAGCAGGAGCTCTGCGGACAGCCGCTGGGCAACAAAGTTGGTCACCCGGTTGCCATCGTAGCCATTGAAGACCCCATAGAGGAAGCAGTTGTTCTCACTCCTGGCAAAGGCAAGGCACAGGAGGCCTGAGACCAGGGCGTCACAAGCAGTGGGGGAGAGGGAAAGGAACTGGGGAGACCAAGGTAAATCAGCTGCAGCTTCAGGTACCCACCGGGGTCCCCCCATTTTGGCTATCATGTCATTGTGCCTGTGCTCTCTTGGGATGCCCTCCCCCAGCTGTATCAGGCCTTGAATTACACACGAAGGGACCACAACAGAGGCCACTCCTGTAGGCCACATCTCATCGGCAAATCCCACGAGACAGTGGCAAGACTGGCGCCTTTTCTTGCTTACAAACCAACTCTCTGCCAAAAGCAAGGCCTGCATGCACACCTGAACTTGAGCCAGCTGTCCTCTGGAGGGTGGCTCTCGGTGCCCTTGCCATCAGCAGAGTAGATGCGGTTGGAGGCTGATCCCACTCCAGAGAGGTGGCAGAGTGGCAGGTCGTCTGTCCAACTCGGTTGCTGCTCCTAGAAAAGGGTGCCAGGAAGCCATGAAGTCACCTTCCCAGGGCAGACCTCATCTCACTTTCTTTTTTTTTTGGGGGGGGGGTAACAAAGATTGAACCTGGGGGCGTTCAACCACTCAGCCACACCTCCAGCCTTTTTTAGTTTTTATTTTAAGACAAGGTCTCCCTAAGTTGCTGAGGTTGGCTTTGAACTTGCAATCCTCCCCGCTCAGCCTCCTGAGTGCCTGGGATCACAGGTGTGCACCACCTGCTTCCCTTTACCTTCTTTCCCAACAAAATCCTAGCAGGCCCAGCAGAGCCTGGACCCCACCCCCTGCAATATGCACAGAGGGCTCCACTTCTTTCTGGAGAACAGTGGTGCTTCTGTGAACAGACACCTGAGGGGGCTTTGCTAGTCCGCAAACTGGTTCCCCAAGACAGAAGCATTCCCAAGCACAAGGCTCGGGAGGTCTCCACCAGGGAGCTGTGCAGCAATCGCCCCGCAGGAAGCTCCCTACAGCCCCACTCCTCCCTGCAGAGCTTTTGACTGTGTGCACAGGAGTCCCCTGGCACCGGCTACACCTGCAGGTCTCAATGTCCAACCTGGGCACAGCCCTGGACATCTGCCTGGTAAACAGCTCCCCACACGGGACTCTCACTGGGGCCTGAACTTGAGAAACTCCCACTCACAAGCTGGCCGCAGACCCTCTCCCTGACACTGGGGCCTCTGCTGCTGGCATCCTCCCCTCTGCCCCTCCAGCTTGTCCTCCTGGGCCAACACCTACAGCCCACAGCCCTGCGCACACCCTTCTCCCTCCATGCAGAGCACCCCGCGTCTTCTTGCCCAGCAATCCTCCACGTCCTCTGGACTCTGGCTCAGGAGTCTAGCTCTGGGGGACTCATTCCACACGCCATTCCACCCTCCGCCTGTCCGCATCTGACTCCCACCCTACTCCACACACCGTCACTGCGGCTGACACGTGCATGCTCACCCAGGTGTCCAGGCCCTGATCTGAGATGAACTTCCTATATCTCTATGGGGTGTGCTCTGAGTAGCTGTATCTTGATAAGCCCAGAGACAACCCAAAACACGGCCCAGGTGTGATTCCTGCTCCTTGCCTGGCCTGTCACCTGAGCACCACCCCTGGTTCACACAGGTCCTGCCACTGTGTTGAACTAGAGCAAACTGAACAAGGCCTCTGGCACCTGGCCACAGCCACAGCCCTTTTATTGTTTGAGACAGTCTTGCTAGTTTGCTGAGGGTCTCACTACATCGCCCAAACTGGTCTCAACTTGCAATCCTCCTGTCTCCGCCTCCTGAACAGCTGATATTAAAGGCATGTGCAACCACAGCAGGCTCTATGTCTAACTTTGTGACTATTTTCATCTTTTGTTTATTTATGTACTTAGAGGGAATTGCTTTATTACCTCCCCCCCCATTTTAAATACTTTTATGTTACATTTATCTATTTCAGTGTTTTAGTTCTATATTTAGTACACAAGAGTAATTTTGGCAGGGTGTGGGAATCTATTTTATTCTTAAATTAACATGTAGTAAAATTCACTTTAAGAGTCCTGTTAACACATGGAGAGATCACTGCAACAGCTGGGCACAGTGGTGCATGCCCCTGATTCCAGCAACTTGGCAGGCTAAGGCAGGAAGATCCCAAGTTCAAAGCCAGCTGGCGCAACAGTGAGACCCCTGTCTCAAAAAAATAAAAAAGGGTTAAAGTAGCGGTAGAATACCTGTCTATTATGTGTGTCCCCAGTACAAGGAAAAAAAAATAAAATAAAATAAAGCGTGTAAGTGAAATCATGCAGCGTATATTCACGCTCCCTTCTGTACTAGGCATTGATGCCAGGGATGCTCCATCACTGAGCCACCTCCCAGCCCCTCTTCCTTTTTATTTTTTGAGACAGTATTTCACTACCACTGAGCTACATTCCCAGAGGAGGGCCCCACCTTTCTTTTTATTTTGAGATAAGGTCTTACTAAGCTGCCAAGGCTGGCCTTGAACTTGCCATCCTCCATCCTCCTGCCTCAGCCTCCTGGGTGGCTGGGATTATGGGCGTGCATCTCAGTGCCCTCTGAGGCTGGCTTCTTCCATCCACACCATGCCCGAGACTCCTCTGTGTGCTCCTGTGCACACCCACAGCTGCTCCTCATGCTGCAGACCATTCTCTGAGCAGCGGATGTTTACTTACTCACCCACTGGAGGGCACAGGGCTGATTCCAGGGTTTAGTGATCATTAACAGTGCTGCTATAAACATTCACTTTGGTTCTCTGGGGTAAATACCCAGGGGTGGGACTGCTGGGTCATACGGCGAATGTGTGTTTATCAGACTCTGCCAGGCGGTCCTCCAGGGTGGCTGTACTGGCTGCACTTCCCCCTCCCCGCTGTGTGGTTTCGTTGGTTGTTTTGGACTTCCAGGAGGCTGCAGGCGCTCCTCCTGCTTTAATTCAAACTTCCCTCAAGGTCAATGATGTTGAGTTTCCTGTGCTTATTTGCCACCTGTCTCTGCTCAAGCATCTGAGTCTTAAGCCCCCTTTTAATAGAGTTTCCTTAACTATTGAGTTTTTTGAGTTCTTACAGCCTCAGCAATAGCAAGGTGCTAAGCAACTCAGTGAGATTCGGTCTCTAAGAAAATACAAAATAGGGCTGAGGATGTGGCTCAGTGACTGAGTGCCCCTGAGTTCAATCCCTGGGACCAAAAATAAATACATACATAAATAAATAAATTCCCAGTCCGCAGCCATTCACTCCACTCCCTCAGCCGTATCTTCTGCAGAGCAGGCTTTAGTTTGATGGTACCCATCTCACCAATTTTTTTCCTTTCATGGTTCACACTTCTGGAGTCCTAAGAACTTTTTGCTCAGGCTCGGGTCAAAAAGATCTTTTTTCTTCTGAAAGTTTTTAGTTTTGTATCTTACAGATCTGTGATCTATTTTGAATTAATTTGTGTAGAAACTAGGAGCTTGAGGTCCATTTTTTTCCTGCACATGATATCTAATTGTCCCAACACCATCTGTTGAAAAGATTAGCCTTCCTCCACTGAATTACCTTTGTATGTCTGTCAAAGTTGACTGGCCACATTGTATGGGTCTATTTCCAGACTCCACTATTTTACTGATCTGTGTGTCTCTCTGCCAATATCACAGTTTATTACCTCAGCTTTATTACTGTGGCTTTATAGTTAAGTCTTAAAATCACACAATGTGATTCTTCTAATTTTATCCTTTAAAAAAAAACATTTATTTTTTTAGACGTAGTTGGACACAATACCTTTATTTTGTTTATTTATTTATTTATTTATTTTGTGGGAGAGAGGGGGAGAGAGAGAGAGAGAGAGAGAGAGAATTTTTTAATATTTATTTTTTAGTTTTCGGTAGATACAACATCTTTATTTTTATTTTTAATGTGGTGCTGAGGGAGGGCCTTGTACATACCAGGCAAGTGCTCTACTGCTGAGCCACAACCCCAGCCCTAACTTTATTCTTTTGGTTGTTCTAGTCCTTTGCCTTTCCATATAAATTTTATTTTAAAAATCTTGTTAGGAATTTTTTATTTTTTGGATTACTGGGGAATGAACTCAGGGGCATTGGACCACTGAGCCACATCCCCAGCCCTATTTTAAATATTATTTAGAGACAGGGTCTCACTGAGTTTTCGCTGAGGCTGGGTTTGAACCTTTGATCCTCCTGCGCCACTAGGATTACAGGTGTGCACCTCCCGCCTGGTCTTGTTCAGAATTTGATTACACCTTTTTTAAACCCATGGGTCAATATGGGGAGAACCGGAATCTTCACCGGCTGGTTCTTTTAAATCCATCAACATGGCATGTCTCCATACTTATTATGTCATCTTTTTTTTTTTTTTTTGTACTGAGGATTGAACTCAGGGGCACTCAATCACTGAGGCACACCCCCAACATGTTTTTTTGTATTTTATTTATAGAAAGGGTCTCATTAAGTTTCTTAGGGCCTCAATAAGTTGCTGAGGCCGGCTTTGAACTCGTGACCCCCCTGCCTTAGCCTCCCAAGCCACTAGGATTACAAGCATGCACCACCACGCCCAGCTTGACCTGTCTCATTTTAAAGCAAAATAAATATCTCCCTTTACATAAATGGGAAATTAAGTCTTGGGAACCCACCTGTGATATTATGTGATTATAGGACATTCAACTAATATATTCATTCAACAAACATCTGCTGAGCATTTGCAACAGGCTGGCAGGACGATCCCAAGTTCAAGGGCTTCTGGCATCTTAGCAAAACCTTGTCTCAAAATAGAAAATAAGGGCTGGAGTGTAGCTCAGTGATAGAGCACCCTGGGTTCAATCCTCAGTATTGAAAGAGAAAAACAAAGGGTTGATTGAGCTCATCCTGTGAGATGAACAATACAAATGCATCGCCCACGATGCAAAGCCTGTTATGGTTACTGCAGTTTGTGCCCCTTCTGCCATATTCTAACTCCCACAAGGGGCAGGAACAGGCATCCGGGGCTGGAATCTTTCTAACAATCCATACTTTCCAGCAAAAAGTAAACATTACCCAAACAATTTATGGGCCAACTTGATATTAGAGATATACTATTAAAAAAACTAGTGAAGTTGTCTTGCCAAGAAGGAAACTAATCAAATAGACAACTGCAGGGCTCGCCACACTGGTATCATGGCACAAGAATAATTCACCTGGAAGCACTTCATGGGGGTGCCCAGGACGATGCTAGCAGGGGCAGAAAGTTGTGCTAACAATTTGTCATATTTGGCTGATGTGGGAATAACAAATTCTCCCAAACTAGAAAACCTATGTGCGTGACAATGATCAACCTACTCAGCAAGCACCTTATTTCTGAGGAAGTCTGCTGAACAGTGAGTCAGACTAATGTCTAGCTACTTCCTTCTTTCTTCCTTTGTTTGGTATTAGGGATTAAATCCAGGGGTGCTGAGCTACATCCCTAACCCTTCTTATGAACTGGGTTTGTTCTACTTGATAAAAATAATCAAGAAAATAGAAATTGATTAAGACTTTTTTTTGGAGGGGGGATAGGGAAGAGGTACTTGGGATTGAACCCAAGTGCACTGTACCACTGAGCTGCATCCCTAGTCTGTCTGTCTATCTATCTATTTATTTATTTATTTGTTGTGGTGCTGGGAATTGAACCCAGGGCCTTGTGCATGTGAGGCAAGCACTCTGCCAACTGAGATATATCCCTAGCCCTCATTTTACTTTTTTTAAATTTTGAGACAGGGTCTACATTGCAGAGTCTGGCCTCAAATTTGCAATCCTTCTGCCTCAGCTTCCTAAGTAGCTGAGATTACAGGCATGTGCCACCACACCCAGTGATCAATACTTTTTAAATATGCTATAAATGTATACTTTAGTCAGTCCCAATGCCAGCATCTTACTTAGTAGGAAAGACAACAGAAGAGACTTTCCCATTAAGACTAGGAACCCATTATGATCAGAAACCCAGCAAGAATGCCTGTTCTCCCCATTACTTAACATTCAACTGGAGGAGTCAACCCAGGCCAGAGAAAAGATAAGAGCATAAGAACTGAAGGGGGGAAGGACTATTTGCAGTTGATATGATAGCATACCTGGAAATCCTAAAGAATTAATAAAAATTAACTCAATAAAAGAAATTAAGTGGCAGGATAGAAAGTTAACACTCAAAAACCAACAGCCTTCATATATTAAATGAAAGACAGGCAGCTAGCTGGCTTCTCAAAGTTCCTATATGCTGTTAACTAAACCAGCAACATCTTCCCGAAAGTCCTAATGTGTCAGTGTCCCCCAACCACACTCCTGCAGAAAACTTTTAAATCTAGATTGATATAGGTTGATTCTGTCTTCATGCTCTCATCCCAGGAGGCTGGCGCAGTACTGAACACTGCCCTCTCACACCAACAACCTCACGCAGCCTCTATCGCGTGCAGATAAAGCCACCTACGCAGGGTTCCAAATGACTGTTGTAAACTGTAACCAGACCAAACTCCTGGGAAGCTAACCAACCCGCTTCTGGCAGGAGGGGCCCACACCAAACACAGAAGAGAATGACATTTCCACCAAACACTGCACTCCTGGAAGGCAGGAGACAATCTGGGACCTCAAATAAAGAAGCTCTGTCCCCACAGGTACAGTCCCAGAGACTGGTAAGACCAAATCAAGTCTTTCCCTGGAGAACATCAGAAATCTGAAAACGGAAAGGCAAGGAGCTTTCTCGACTTTTAAGATCAGTTTTATTCCCTGTCCCTCCAGCACACTCTGAACCAGCTCATGGAGGCCCAGACTCGGGGCACAGGGCTCAAACCCTGGAGCCCCTGCCCTGAGACTCTCTCCCGGTGGCCTCACCTTGGCACTCTGTGTACATGCAGCCTGTGGCTTCTGTCCATTGTCACACTAGAGCCTCGTGGGGTTTTTTTTTTTTTTTCTTTTTTTGGTACTGAGGATTGAACTCAGGAGCACTCGACAATTGAGCCACACCCTCAGACCTATTTTTGTATTTTTATTGAGAGACAGGGTCTCACCAAGTTAGTTGCTTAGGTGCCTTACTAAATTGCTGAGGCTGGCTTTGAATTCACAATCTTGGCTCTGCCTCCTGAGGCACTGGAATCACAGGCGTGCGCCACCGTGCCCAGGAGAGCCTGGTACTGTTAATTAGCTCCCTTAGTCCACTGACTTAAGTACCTGCACTTTCTGTTTTATGATGTCTGCAGAGGGTACAAGCTAATTAGCATTTTTTTTCCTAAGTAGTACCGAAAAATACTGATGTGTCCTTACCATAATGGTGTCTCAGGTTCACTAACAAAAGGGAATTTCTTTGTATCATTTGGGCCCTCCTTTGGTGGCAGCCCTGCCTGGAAGGTGATCCTTAGAGCATCTCAGACACCGACTCAGTAACAGGTAGCCCAGAATTCCAGGAGGCCCACCAACAGGAGACTTTGCAGTGTGGAGGCCGAGCTTCGAGCTTTCCCATCTCATCTCTGGCAGGAGTCACCCACGCAAGGCACCCAGGGCCCTCCACCAGCAAGCCTGCCAAGGCTTGTCCCCCCGCTTTGGAACAGCTTCAAGAAAGGTCACGTTTGCTATTCTCAAGCCGCCCACCCGCCCTGCCATCCCTGAGGCATGCTTTCTCCCACATCCCCAAATGCCAGGCGGTCAGCTCAGGGCACCAGCCTCCAGGAAGCTGAGAAGGGGGCGACTTTTGCTGGCACCCTCAGCACAGATCTGTTCACACACGACAGTGAGCACAAGGGCATTCCCTCCTCCGCCGTTCAAAGGAAATTTATGAAAAATATGGCAAAAAGAGAAGGCTGCTCAAAAGGGTCTCTCGCCGACTTGACTTTGTGTCCAGAAGCCCTATTTGGCATGAAGAGCTTCTGCAGAGACCCATTTAACCTGCCAGGGGCTTCCGAACACCTGAGCAGGTCTGTTTGAGCATGAACTCTACACACGCACATGTGTCGGTGTCACACTGAGAGCAAACACCCACGCTCATCTCCAACCCGAGTCGCACACGAGGACAAAGCACAATTCCAAGCTCAGGGCTCAGCCTCCACGTCAGATTATGGTGTGAAAGGCCAAGTGTTTCTGTGCTGAGAGCACCCGGATGTCTGAGGCAAAAAGGCACTCACAGCGGGGACTAAAGGCCTCCGGGAAGGTGACTCAGCGACAGGGGCAGTTTCTCCTCTCCAGAAAGCTCCAGCCATCTCTATCCTGCTGAATGACCCACTTCTCCAAGACCAACTCCCTCCTAGCCTCCACTGCCCCAAGGGTTTCCACCAAAGGCCCCCTGAGCTGCCATTTCAGAGCCCCTAACAAACACCTGTAGGGGTACTTGTGGGGACCAGGGCAGCAGATGGACTGCATGACTGACTGCCGCTGAACAGCTACAGGTGACAGCCTAATGATGTTTTTAAAAGATGTTTTTACTTTCGTAGGTATATACTTATTTTAATTGAAAAAAATGCATGACTAGCACCTGTGATTTCATAGATGTAATTGCTTACAACACGCATGTCTAAGTTTAAAAAATCGATTTCAACCTCATTATCTTGTATTTAACTTTTATTTTTTTGGAGACAGGGTCTCACTGTGTTGCCCAGGCTGGCTTCAAACTCCTGAACTCAAGTGACTTCCGTTCTCAGTTTCCAGAGAGGGACACACCACAGTGCCTGGCTGTTTTTTCTCTCAGGACTGGGGACCCAACCCTGGGCCTCGGGCTTGCTAAGCAAGCGCACCACCACTAAGCTACATCCTCAGCCCTTGTTTTAAAATTTTATTTTGAGACAAAGTTTTGCTAAGTTGTCCAGGCTGGCCTCAAATTTGCAATCTATTGCCTCACCTTCCCAAGTAGCTGTGGTTACAGGCGGACCCCATGATTTTCTTTTTATACTTACATTACCGTCCTCAAACACTTATCCTCCCTGGCCACAAACCATAAAAGGCACCAATGTTGTTTAAAACTAACTTTGAAGCCCTTCTTGACTTTTCTTCCTCTGCCATGCCCCCAACATCAGTAAAACACACCAGCTTTTCTGCCAAAATACTGCTGGACTCTGAGACTTCCAACCACTCCGGCTACCAGCTGGCCAAGCCACTGTCCTATCGCACCTAGATTATTTTAGTAGCCACTTGGCAGGTACCAGGTTTCCATTCTTGCCACTAAAAAGAGGGTTTTTCTCTGATCATAAATCACACCACACCAGGGCCCCTACCACCCAGAAGCTTCATATCATGCTTAGGATGGAATGCAAAGGCTACTCCAGTACCCACAGACCTGAAAGGGCCCAGCTTCCTTGGATGGTACTGACCCAACGTGATCCTTTCCAGCCACACTGGCCTTCTGGGAGTCCTGAAAAGGGCAGGCCTTTGTGCCCCCAACTCCCTTCCCATGTCCCCCACTTCATCTCATCAAAAATTGACGTCAGGGCTGGGGATGTGGCTCAAGTGGTAGCGCGCTCGCCTGGTATGCGTGCGGCCTGGGTTCGATCCTCAGCACCATATACCAACAAAGATGTTGTGTCCGCCGAGAACTAAAAAAATAAATATTAAAAAAAATTAAAAAAATAAAATAAAATTGACGTCATCCCTGCCCAAAATGGCCCTCCACCCTCGTGTGTGCCTCACAACACACCTGCGGTTGGATCAGAGACACTGTGCCGTCACGATCATCCGTGCGTGCGGGCTCAGGGCTCACTGCCTATCTCCACACATAAGCTTCACCACAGCAATGCTCCTATACCTGCAGGCACCTATCACATGGTGAGTGCTCAGTGACACTGGAGGGGACAAACGGAAGACATTCAAAAGCAAGATTAAAGCTGGAAGTTCATGGCTAGAGTGTGACCGTGCCAGGTTAGGGGAATAATGTGTGAGTTCATTTAACACCAGAAATATTCCCAGGAACCTTCTTGGTTTGGAGAAACTGAGGCTCAGGGACAAGTGACTCTGTTTTAACAGGCTGAAAGGGCTGGGGTTTTGGGGGGGAGGTTGTTTTTTTGTTTTTTTGGTACCAGGGATTGAACCCAGGGGCGTTCAACCACCAAGCCCCAGCCCTTTTTTATATTTTATTTAGAGACAAGGTCTCACTGAATTGCTTAAGGCCTCACCAAGTTGCTGAGGCTGGCTTTGAACTTGAGATTCTCCTGCCTCAGCCTCTCAAGTTGCTGGGATTACAGGGGTGCACCACTGTGCATGGCTGACGGCTGAATTCCTTAGCATATCAAGCTTTCTCTGAAAGTCTTTTTTTTTTTTTTTTTAAAGAGAGAGAATTTTAATATTTATTTTTTTAGTTTTTCGGTGGTCACAACATCTTTGTTTGTATGTGGTGCTGAGGCTCGAACCCGGGTCGCACGCATGCCAGGCAAGCACGCTACCGCTTGAGCCACATCCCCAGCCCTGAAAGTCTTTCTTCAAAAAGATGTGTTAAGGTATCAATCTACCTAGGGAGGAACGGCGAAACTCTTCAGGATGATGTTCCGCTCTGCCAACATTAGGGTACAGCCTGGTAAGCACCAAATCAGCAAACCCCCACCCTTGCCTGTAATCCCACTGCCCCAGTCACCTGAGACGGCTGCACTGCTCAACACAGACTCTGGTACCCATTCTAGCCTGGGAAAGGCTTTCCAGACACCTGATGCATACATATTTAAACACATGTCCCCCTGGAATGTCCCTCTTTTCCCCTGCCTGGCAAGCTCCAATGTCCTTTAAAGCCTCTGCAGTTCTCTACTACCTGCCCAGGGCTCCTAACTGACCCAGGTCTACATTCCCAAGAGTGCCTTACCCACCGTGCCAGTGGTATAGGATCCTTCACAAAGTTGAACTGCAAACACAGTAAGAGTGGACACCAGGCCTCACTCATCTTCACACCTGCAGGGCCAGCAGCCATACAGCAGGTGGCTAAGCACAGGTGTCTGAGATGCTCTCAGCAGACTTGGGTCAGAGGCCAGGTCAGCAAGGCCTACATTCTGGACTAGACCCTCACATCCTCTGTAAGTAGGAACGTCCTGGTTATTATGAGGCCAGGAGGGACCCTGTATAGACAACCTTGCCAGCCAGCCCCTTGCCTTACATCAAGATGCTATGTTTTTAACGCTATTCTTATTTATTTATTTGTTTATTTATTTATTTATTTATTGGTATCAGAGGTTAAACCCAGGGGTGTTTCAACACTGACCCATATCCCCAACGCTTTTAAAAAATTATCTTGAAACAATGTCTCACAAAGTTGCTGAGGCTGGCTTTGAACTTGTGATCCTCCTGTCTCAGCCTCCTGAGCCACTGGGATTACAGGCATGTGCCACCATGCCCCACGACACAATTCTTTCTTTAAAAAAGCCCACCACCATCCAGAGAAGCACATTCTAGAGCTCATAAAGCTGAACTTCTATCTAACTCAGGTCCCTTGGGCCCAATTACACCTAGGAGGGAGGGCAGCTGGCAGCCACCCTGCTCTGCGTGATCCAGGTGACCCTTTGCTCCTCAGCAAAACGGCTCAGTCTGCCCTATTTACCACTTCTTCCCAGTCCTTCTTTCTTAAGGGTGCAATCAAGCTAGTGTTTCCTGGATGCTTTCTACAATGAGGACATTTATACAGGGGCCCTGCCCTCCAGGAGTTTACAGAGCAGAGGGCCAGAACTCTTTGCTTCCAGTCTACACAAAGTCCTCATTAGCATGCAGCAGTGATGGCCACGCCCCACGCACCAGCTCCAAGGCTTCAAGACCCTCCCAGACTCCACCAGTGGAACTCCACATCACGTACAACCACAAGAATGGGACGTTATACCCCAGGTGTGTACATGTCCAAATACATTCTACTGTCATGTATAGCTAAAAAGAACGACGACAAAAACCCTCACAAGCAGGAGGGCCACAGTCCGCTCTTTCTGTAAGGGAAAGGTTTAACACTGGGCCTGGCTTTACTCATATTTCACCGATATTAATTGAGCACCCAGCGTACAGGGGTGACAGGAGGAGACACGATGGTAAGCAGGAGATCACAGCCTCTGTCTTAGAGGAGTCCACTTTCTAGTTCAGGGGACAGAAAAGTCCACAGGCAATTCCCACAGAGCGCCATAACAGGGGAGGACTCAGGGGACAGGCACCCTGCCCTGGAAGGTCAAGAGTAGGCCACAGTGCCAACCTGCGTGTGCACCCGCCTGTCAGGAAATGCAGGGGCTACAAAGCCCTGAGGGCCACTGGGGGAGTGGACGCATCCTGGGCCCCACTCTCTCGGAGGCCAAAGGCACAGTGAGTCACAGGGGGACCAAAACCCGGGTCCCCACCGCTTGTCATGGCTTCAGTACAGTCCCGAGATTACGGGGCTTTAATTTAAGGGGAGAAAAACTGCCGGATTTTGATCCTGTCTCTGCCACTTACCAGCTGCGCGGCCGGGGGCCGAGGACGGCCACTCTGTGCCTGAGTTTCCTCATCTGTAAACAGGAATCACTATGGTACCTATCTCCTGAGGCTGTCATGAAAATTAACCTCACAGACGTAAGGGCATTGGCACATCACGTCTCACGCAAGCGGAGGCGGCTATTGCTATTACTGCACGCACGCTCGGGGCTCCGCGGCGCCCCAGACCCCTTCCGGCCCGCGGACGCTCCCGCCGGGCGAGACCCCGGCGGCCTGGCCCGCGGCGCGCATGCGCAGGCCTCGCGGGGCCTCGGGTCTCGCGCGCGCTGCACGCGCCGTCGGCCTCGAAAGGGAGGCTAGGGCGGCGGACACACTCCGCCACCGACAGGAGCGGCGCCTGCACCGACAGCCCTCCCGGGCTCCCAACCCCCAAACTTGGAGTGGGTCGGATCCTCACACTCTGCAGCAGACTCCTCCTCTGCGCCGCCATCTTGGAAGGACCCCCGCGGCGCGCCCTCCTCTGGGCGGAGCAACGAGTAGGGTGGCTAGAGCGGCTTAAGGAGCCACGGAGGACTGCGCCGCCGGGCGCGTGAGCACAGCGCCGCCCAGGACGGGAGGCGGGATGGGGCGCGCGGACCATGTGCGCAGGCGCGCTCTGCCACCCTTACCCCCCCCCGCCCGCCCCAGGGACGGAATATGCGGAGTATCTTATTTAACACTCCATATGAGATTGTGCTTAACCCGTCTCTCTTTTTTCTTCTTTTGGTTCCTGGAATTGAACCCAAGGCACTTAACCACTGAGCCACATGCCCACCCTCTTTTTTTCTATTTTATTTAGAGACAAGGACTCACTTGAGTTTTTTAGGGCCTCTCTAAGTTGCTGAGGCTGGCTTTGAACTCGCGATCCTCCTGCCTCGGCCTCCCAAGCTACTGGGATTGCAGGCGTGCGCCACCGCGCGGCTCCTCACTGGCCCTTAATGCTGACTTTCTCCAGGATGCCTTTCCGAGGGGGTTCCTAAGGCTCTGGCTTAGGGCTCTGAATCAGGGGGACAGGGGAGTGAATTATTCACTCAGTGAACTCAGGCTGTTGGTGTGGGCCTGGCCCCATAGTGAATTTCACAGCCGGCAGAACAGGCCTTCCGGAAGCTAACGTTTTAATTTGCAAGGACAGAATTGACATACCAAAAACATTGCCAAGGTTTTGAATGGTTGAAAGAAGTTCAAGTGCAGAGACACTGGAGTGTGGTATTGCTGGCGACAGGGACACAGGCCAGGTGCAGGGAACTGGTGCAGAGGAACCAGGGAAAAGAGTGAGTTCAGGAAGCATGCAGGTCACAGAGGGCCACCAAGGCCAGGCAGAGGAGCTTGGAGGGGCCTGGGCCCCAGGCAGAAGCTTAGCGATCCCTCTTGAAGGCAAAGCTGTCGAACCCTGAGGAAGCCATTACCGTCCCCTTGGTAGAAAGAGTCCTTTGATATGTTCAGGGGGGTGGGAGTGGGGACAGGAAGACCCATTAAGGGACTCTTCTAGGTTAACAGTTGTGTTGGCTGAGGGCCGTGGGTGAATTTTATTTAGGAAATGATTTGATCCTGGATTGGTTGTGGGTGGTTGCTGAGGTTTGAATGTGTCCCCCCAAAATTCATATATTGGAAACTTAAACCCCAAATTCATGTGTTAATGGTAACTGGAGGTGAGGCCTTAGGGACTTAATTAGGACTACGGAGATCCTGAGGGGGTGCCTCACCATGGCATTAATGGCTTTTTGAGGGGAAGAGAAACTCATTCGCACACTTGCCTGCAGCGCCCCCCGCCGTGTTGTGATGCAGCGCAGGGCCCTTGCCAGCAGCTGCTCCAGGCTCTGGGACTCCCCGGCCTCCGGAACTATGATCCAAATAAACTTCTATTCCTTATAAATTTCCCAGTCTCAGGTATTTTGTTACAGCAACAGAAAATGGACTTAGATAGAGGTGACAGGAAGAGAGATGTCAAAGATTCTCCCCAATTTCAGGTAAGAACAGGTGGGCTTGAGGGGAGAGTGAAGGGAATGGCTGTGAGTTCTTTTTGAACATGTGGAGTTTGAGGTGTTTTTGAGACAAGAAGAGAATTCAAGTCGGTAGTTAGAGGGTGCTGTACAGCAGGAAACCCCAATTCAGTGAGTCACCCCATAGGTAGCTGTAAGGTCAGGCAGCGCCACCAAAGGAGGCTTTATTGAGATTTCACTCCCAGGAGATCTCTCCAGACCACCAGGGCGGATCCAGGGAGAAGCACGCAGGGTTCCACGGGACTGGAATTTTTATTGGGCTTCGGACAGGAAGGGAGGGCTTGGGACAGGAAAAGGGGGGTTTTTAGAGTCCCTTGTCCTATGGGGTTGGTCAGGGGAGCTGGCTATGATCCAGGACTGGCCAGGAGACGCCGCTGATTGACAGACGGTTCTGTTGGCACCTGATTGGTGGCTCTTGCGCGCACAGATTGCTTGGTGCTTTGTCCCTCACCCGCTGAGCTTCTGCTCTTATCTAATGAAATTCCTCCTTAGAAAGTTTTCTTGATTCCCACCCCAGTATGAGCCCCTCTGTCACTTTTTTTTTTTGGGGGGGGTGCTGGGGATTGAACCCAGGGCCCTGTGCATGCCAGGCCAGCACTCCACCAACTGAGCTATATCCCCAGCCAACCCCTCCTCACTTTTAATCACTTAGTCACTTTGAGTCATTTAAAGGAAGTGTAAATGTTGACAGTGAACTTCCCGAGGGCAGGAGCTCGGAGACTAGGCCCAGGGTTTCTCCACAGCCTCCAGGGAAGCTGCTTGGCAAATGTTCACAGCACAGAATTGATTAAAGAACCAAAAAAGTGGGGTGCGATGGCACACACCCGTAACCAGTGGCTCCGGAGGCTGAGGCAGGAGGATCATGAGTTCAAAACCAGCCTCAGCAATTTAGCAAGGCCCTATCCCGAGGCGGCAAATTGCGACGTATGCAGTGGAGGGGAGAAATAAAGAATGTCCACGTGCTACTGCCCCTTTCAATGCTTTATTCACTCAAATTACTCGATGCAATTTCATTCTATAGGTTCTTAATCAAGAAAACAGTAAAAGACCCCCGTTTCCCTGTCCAAGGAGAATCACACGAAACACTGGCTGCAAAAGCGCAAGAGGTT